ACCCTTGTGTTAGTTAAACGAAGTTAGTGTCTTAGTTAGTCGCTGTGAATAACTCCGACACAATAATTTCTTGGCTTGTGACTCAGCACACTAGGCCGTCCGTCTTACGTGCAACGAAATGTGTTCTCGCCACGGTTCAGTAGCGTTTCCGTGTGGATCCGGGTCGCGCTTCTTCTCGGGATTCTCGACCTTCTGATGAGTATCTAAGGTTCGTCTCCTAGCTGCCTCGTGCACATGCTGTCCAGACTCTCCCTTCGTAGAGCTCACATCCTCCCATGCCCGTTCACGTGCGCGTGCGCATTACCCCTTACCTCCGCGAATTCCGTGCGCGCTGCGTTCATTTCATCTCGTCCGTTCCTCCCGTACCCGCCACGTCGCATTCTTCGTCCCGTCTGCTTCTGGTGCGCGATGCCGTCCCTTTTGTCTTGACGGTTCATCCCGTGCCGGCCTCGTCCTATTCCCCCTCCCGTTAGCTTCCCCCGTGGGCGCTGCGTCCCGTACCTCATCTATTCCTCCTGTGCACACCGCGTCGCACTCGTCCCCCCGTCCCTTTTCTCCGCCTCGCGCTCGTCCTCCCGTCCCTTCCCACCGCGTCGCCACCCGTCCTCCCGTCCCATTCCACCGCGTCGCACTCGTCCTTTCGTCCCTTCCCACCGCGTCGCACTCATCATCCCGTCCCTTCCCTCCGAGTTGCAATCGTCCTCCCGTCCCTTTTCTCCGCGTCGCACTCGACCTCTCATCCCATTCCACCGCGTCGCACTCGTCCTCTCGTCCCTTCCCACCGCGTCGCACCCGTCCTCCCGTCCCTTGTCTCCGCGTCGCACTCGTCCTCCCGTCCCCTCCCGTTGCCTTCTCCCGTGCTTGCTGGCGTCCCTTCCCTCTGTTTCATTCCCCCTACCGTCCGAGCCTCCGGTGCGTTATTCGTCGTTTCACTGTCGTATGATCCTCCCATATCGCCACGTCGCATTCTCCCTCCTGGCCCCAGTAAACTAGACGTGCCTCCATCGCGGTTTTGACAAGGGCGGAAAGTCACGAAATTGTGACTTTCCAGTGACGATTACGTGACATTTTTCAGTCACGTAATCTTCATGGACAGAATCACCCGTCACAGAAACACAACACTTCCGTCACAACCATTGTGATGGTTTAGTGAACATTGCGTCCCTTTTACATGACTAACCCCACATTCACCTATTGGTCACCGAAAACATACCACTTAGCAACCCTGCCATGTATGCAGCCACGTGTAGTACAGTTACAACCCTCCCGGTACAACTTCGCCATTGACCAACCAAACGTACGGTATAAAACCGTGGTATCGGCGAATCCCATCTTGCAACGTGTTCGTAAAAATATTCGACTTCAACGGCTACGATCCACCAACCCTCTTCTTCCTTCAACGGCGTAGATTAAAAACCATGACTTCGCGAACCTCATTTACGACTACATCTTAGCCGTCTACGTCACCACACATGAACCCTCTGGATGATGCCAGCGTACAAAAAATCAACGGCAATGCGCAGCCTCCTGGAAAATCCAACCCTGCCATCCAGTCGTTCATACAACCCGCATTCCACGTCGGGATCCTTTGCCCTCACAAACAACCTGTTACGTAGACACAATCTCAACCAACAGATCGCCCAGCATCTACGGTCTTAATAATCCGAGATGAATTGAATCCACGTCTCTCCTACAATCCGCCGCCGCTGCCACGGTACCAATCCCACCGTCCACACTCCCGCATATCCACGGCATCGGCGACGTCTACGTCAACGACATCGACGGTAAAAAATGTCTCGCACCTGAGGTGTAACCCATGGTACTCCACATCTTACCCGTCACACACTCGCCTCCATGTATCGCCGCGCTTTCGCGACACAGTCCTCCACACACCATCACAAAAACCCTATGCCAAGTTTGGACGAATTTTGATTGGGGTTGTCTTCGCGTAAAAAAATCCGGACCCAATTTCGACCGACGGTTGGAATCATTTGATAGGAGCTCCGACACACATCTCGCGACAAGGTTTGGCTCAGGTCAAGTTTCAAATTGGCACGCGAGCTTTTCCGGATGACATTCGGGCGCAATCCGTTTTGGTGCAATTTCGGTACCAAATTATTTAAAACTGGATTTTGGTTTTGTTTTATTTTGGGTATTGAGGATTTCAGAATTACATTCAATATTCCGGCTCTTGAACTTGGTGAACACGACCCCGCCCCTCTTGAAGGAGAGCTTGAACGCATAAGCAAACAAGGGGTTGCTGAAAGGCGTTCCGGTGGCCTTGTCAAAGTGCCAGTTGAGGGCCCACTGTTCTGCATTTTGGGAGGGAGCGTACGGGTTGGAAAGGGGGTGCAGAGAAATCAAGTGGCTGGGTGAGAGTCAGGGTGAGGAACACCGCACGGTTATTCGTAGCTGCCACCGGGCATATGGGCAGGGGGATATGGTGTGTTCGAGTCGCACATACCATCTCTGTACTCGGCCAGGAGATCCTCGTGGTTGAACCACTTCTTTGGGTGTAGCTCAGTGGGCAGGGTATCCACGAGATGGGCGTAATCGGAGAGGCCCATGCCGGCGTACGTTGCTGGCCTGAGGGTGCTATTGATTGTTGACCTGGTTGACGACATCTGGTGGTTGAAGACACCCATGGTTGACTTGTCGTTGTGCAACCACAGCAGCTTCATTGACTCGAGCCCTTCGGCAGACAAGTGGACAGCGAACGCCTCGAACACTTCCTCCGGTGCAGGGTAGTACTGGATTTTTTCCGGGGGGTTCAGAAACAGGAGCTGAGAGCACACTAAGTAGGCCTTGTTCTGCGCAGGGGTGTGGGGTTTACAACACGACATGGGGAGAGAGAAACCATCAGTTATGACTGTGGCCGCGTGACCACAGGATGGACTGTGTGAACTTTCCACGTCACACCCTCCTCCATCCGCCACGTCCACCAGAAACCAGCCCCACTTGCCACGTCACATCCACCCACCCCATGCCACGTCACCCCCTACCCACCTGATACGCGTCACCTCGTCACGCGCCGCTCCCGTGTAACCTTCCAAGCCGCCACGTCAGCCCCAAGCCTCACATCCCGCCACGTCACACCCTCCTGCATCCGCCACGTCAGGGAACAACCAGCCCCACGTGCCACGTCACACCCACCCACCCCATGCCACGTCACCCCCCACCCACCTGACACGCGTCACCTCGTCACGCGCCGCTCCCGTGTACCCGTCCAAGCCGCCACGTCAGCCCCAAGCCTCACATCCCGCCACGTCACACCCTCCTGCATCCGCCACGTCAGGGAACAACCAGCCCCACGTGCCACGTCACACCCACCCACCCCATGCCACGTCACCCCCCACCCACCTGACACGCGTCACCTCGTCACGCGCCGCTCCCGTGTACCCGTCCAAGCCGCCACGTCAGCCCCAAGCCTCACATCCCGCCACGTCACACCCTCCTCCATCCGCCACGTCAGGGAACAACCAGCCCCACGTGCCACGTCACACCCACCCACCCACCCCATGCCACGTCACCCCCCACCCACCTGGCACGCGTCACCTCGTCATGCGCCGCTCCCGTGTACCCGTCCAAGCCGCCACGTCAGCCCCAAGCCTCACATCCCGCCACGTCACACCCTCCTCCATCCGCCACGTCAGGGAACAACCAGCCCCACGTGCCACGTCACACCCACCCACCCACCCACCCCATGCCACGTCACCCCCCACCCACCTGACACGCGTCACCTCGTCATGCGCCGCTCCCGTGTACCCGTCCAAGCCGCCACGTCAGCCCCAAGCCTCACATCCCGCCACGTCACACCCTCCTGCATCCGCCACATCAGGGAACAACCAGCCCCACGTGCCACGTCACACCCACCCACCCCATGCCACGTCACCCCCCACCCACCTGACACGCATCACCTCGTCACGCGCCGCTCCCGTGTACCCGTCCAAGCCGCCACGTCAGCCCCAAGCCTCACATCCCGCCACGTCACACCCTCCTGCATCCGCCACGTCAGGGAACAACCAGCCCCACGTGCCACGTCACACCCACCCACCCCATGCCACGTCACCCCCCACCCACCTGACACGCGTCACCTCGTCACGCGCCGCTCCCGTGTACCCGTCCAAGCCGCCACGTCAGCCCCAAGCCTCACATCCCGCCACGTCACACCCTCCTCCATCCGCCACGTCAGGGAACAACCAGCCCCACGTGCCACGTCACACCCACCCACCCACCCCATGCCACGTCACCCCCCACCCACCTGACACGAGTCACCTCGTCACGCGCCGCTCCCGTGTACCCTTCCAAGCCCCCACGTCAGCCCCAACCCGCCCCATTTGGCCCGCCACATACCGGGAATGGGTTTGTCTCCTGCAACACTAGCACTCGTGCCTTGTCCACGGCACTCATCGGCGGCGGGGTACCAGCCATAGCCGCGGCTGCGAAACCCCCGGCATAACTGGCAGGTACTCCACGACGCAGGCCGAGCTGTGCAAACATGGCGTACATCTCAGACCGCAGCGCCTGGAACTCCTCCCGTGTAACAAACTGCTCGTGCTCCGCACTTTCACCTAGGGCACCCATGAGCGGTGGAAAAGGGTGTGAAGAATCCCCCCTCTGGCCAAGGGTTTCAGCATCTTTTTCAGCAGTCCCGAATGCCCTCACACTATCACGCTGTCGGGAAAAGGGGAGCTCAGGGAAGGGATTGGCAGAAGTGTTTGGCTGATGCCCGCGCGAAGGACCAGCGAGGGGGGAGACCGCCTTGCCCCGGACAGGAGAAGCATGTAGCGGCCGAAATGGGTACGAGGGTGAGGCGAGTGGGGAGTGCGTGATGGGGCCTGGTGGAGGTGATTCGGATTCCTCTCCTCTTGGCGCGCCGGGAGCCGTCGCAGCGACTTTGCTCGGGCCGGAGTACGGCGTGAAGAACCTTGGGGCTCCTGTGGATAGCGACGTCACACTCGCTCTTCCGGCCCCCTTCGTTAGCTGCATCCGTTGCACGCTTACCGGTGGCCCAATGCCTGTAATGCGAGGGGCTGAGATTTAGAGGGAGTAGGATCAAGAAATTAAAGTCGATCGGTATCAATACAGGGCCAGACAGTCATGCATGAAATCAATGGTTTGAATCTAAATCGGGCTTAGCCGTGTACTGTTTTGAGACAGGAGACTTTACCTTTCTTTGCAGATTCGTCGTCCTTCTCCTTCCCTGCAGGGGAGAAACAACGTGTAGAATGGTGTTATTTGGCACGGTTGAGCAGAGAGTGCAACAACCACGCCCGGTGTATTGGCCAGGGTGCTCACCTTTCTGCTGTCCCTTCGGTTTTTTTGGGGCCAGCGCCTTCTCGTTGCCACCTTTCCGCGGGGTGCTTTGACGGCCGCTGCGACGTTTACCGGCAGGTTCTTTCTTGCCAGTACCCAATGGAACCCCTTTGGCGCCACCCTTACCTCCTCCATCCCCTTTTGCTCCCTGGCGCCCTTGCTTTTTACCACCCCCTTCACTTTCGACCTTCACCTTACGCGCCTTCGGTCTGCCAGCTGCTGCGTCGCGCGCGGCGTCAACTGCCCCGCGTTTTCGGGAATGGTGAGTCCGGCCCCCCACCTTCCCTGTACCACTCTGCCGTCTGCCATGCCCGCCCCGTCCCTTCAGTGCCGCCACGTCCTCCTCCTCCTCCCCCTCTTCCTCCTCCTCCTCCTCCTCCTCTGCCTCCTCCTCCTCCTCCTCCTCCTCCTCCTCCTCCTGTTCATCCTCCTCCTCGTCGTCCCCCTGCTCTTCCTCCTCCTCCTCCTCCTCTGCCTCCTCCTCCTCCTCCTCCTCCTCCTCCTCCTCCTCCTGTTCATCCTCCTCCTCGTCGTCCCCCTGCTCTTCCTCCTCCTCCTCCTCCTCCTCCTCCTCCTCCTCCTCCTCCTCCTCCTCCTCCTCCTCCTCCTCATCCTCCTCCTCCTCCTCCTCCTCCTCCTCCTCCTCCTCCTCATCCTCCTCCTCCTCCTCTTCATCCTCCTCCTCATCGTCCTCCTCCTCCTCCTCCTCCTCTTCGTCCTCCCCGCCATCATTCTTATCTTTTTCATCCTCCCCAACATCCGCGTCATCTTCCTCCGCATCCTCTTCATCCTCCTCTTCCTGCGCATCCTCCTCCTCGGCCTCACCAGGGTCTTCACCACCCCGTTTCGGCCTCGTCCTCATCGCTGCTTTCTTGCCCCTCCCTCCGCCGGATGTTTTTCTTGCTGCGGGTCGGCCCTTTTGGCGCAATGCATGACCCGTCGCTTTGCCACTAGCTTCACTGGCGCCTCGCGTTCTCCCAACTTCCGCGCCACCGGCGTCGGCGACAATGCCTGTCGTCTGCCGCCTCTTCGCCCGCGTGGTGATGTCCCCGGGCACGGCGGTGTCAGAATCGTCCTCCTCATCGCTCTTCCTCTGCCTACGTCTCCCCCGTCCACCAGAAGGAGGAGAGCCACCGACGTCGGCTATGCCGTGGTTAGGATCCTCCATCGACTCGTGCTCCCCCACCTTGTCCTTATCCAGCACGGCAGCAGAAATTTGGACCACGGTCGGCTGGAGCAGCGTCAGATGGTGTTGAGATGGCTCCGCCTCGGACTCCTTGGTTGCGGTATGCTCGGCGCGTGGATCGCCTCCGTGGTTTCCCCCTGTCGCCGATCCCTCTCTCTCCGCCGACGGGACTGCAAGACTCGCGCTCCCTCGCCCCGGATGTTCGTTGCCGCCACTGGTGCCGTCGTTAGTCGGACCGGGCGTGGTTCCAGTTTAGGCAACATCCGCATCTTTGTTCACTGTAGAAACACGCTTGCGTGGCATTGGTTGCTTCCCGTTGTCTGCCGCCTTCCTGCCGGACTTCTCTTGACCGCGCGCGACCTTCTTTGCCGCCACTTTTTTCAGCCCAGTGCCACGCGCAACGGACGCATTAGTTTTCTTAGCGCCGCCGCCACCCTCCCTATCGGTCCATTTAGACATCGTCCTTGTCGCTCGGCGTCCGGCCTGTTCCTCCTCCATTGCTTGTTGACGTGTGGCACGTGTCATGGTTGCCGTAGGAATGCCAATTTCTATCGTGCGAAACGGGTTAGCCTGTTTTGAAGGGCCGCAGCAACTGAATATCACGAAGTGTTTAACGACGGCCTATCACTGTTATGTTTCTCCGAAAACCGCTGCTATCACTAAAACTGAAATAGTAGCCACTCATCACAGAGCTACGGCCCGTGACTTAGTATACTAGTGAGTCACGGGCGATCTGGAAACGCGCTTGTCAAACAGCGAGCAGCGTCTAAGTGTTGGCACAGAGGGTGACGGGAGCAGGTGGGTGGGGCACAAGGGTGGTTGTGGTGGGTTGCGAGACTATAGAGATTACTGTAACCCTATCAGGCTATATCGGACGGTGTACGTGTAGCCACCCGTGCATAAACCCGCCTACCGCTCGATCTCATCCGCTCAATGGCGGAAGTACCTCTTGGCTGGTGCTTGTGTTGTGTGGGGACTCGTTTGAGATGCATTGGCCAATCACGTTTGCCAACGCATCAATCTCTACGCATGGTATGACGGTTTTAGAACCTCAAGTGCGAATGTAACCTTATCCCTGCAAAGTATAGTTATCTCGTGAACGCACAGTGTTGAACATGTACGCTGAATAAATTTAAAAAATACAACAATAAAAAACATCCAAAACTTTGATGCTCTTGGTTTAGTATGGGGTTGCCGTCGGTAGTGGGTTTGTCTCATGTCACACACACAAAGTGTAACAAACGAATGTGTTGACGAATAGTAACAGCCGAGAAAAAGTTGTTGTATGGTGTTGGATTGTCATCCAACATTGCACGGACATTCAACAAGGTGCTTAGAAGGAGTGGTATGAAGCACAGGCCCAACGCACAAGCGTAGATGCGTTCTCGACAGCAGTGTTTAGACAGTGCGACGATGCCGCGTTCCGGCATGTGTGTTGCGCGCCATGGTGAATCCGTTGCGGTTTGGCGTTGGATTGTCATCCATCATTGCACGGACATTCAACAAGGTGCTTAGAAGGAGTGGTATGAAGCACATGCCCAACGCACAAGCGTAGATGCGTTCTCGACAGCAGTGTTTAGACAGTGCGACGATGCCGCGTTCCGGCCTGTGTGTTGCGCGCCATGGTGAATCCGTTGCGGTTTGGCGTTGGATTGTCATCCATCATTGCACGGACATTCAACAAGGTGCTTAGAAGGAGTGGTATGAAGCACATGCCCAACGCACAAGCGTAGATGCGTTCTCGACAGCAGTGTTTAGACAGTGCGACGATGCCGCGTTCCGGCCTGTGTGTTGCGCGCCATGGTGAATCCGTTGCGGTTTGGCGTTGGATTGTCATCCATCATTGCACGGACATTCAACAAGGTGCTTAGAAGGAGTGGTATGAAGCACATGCCCAACGCACAAGCGTAGATGCGTTCTCGACAGCAGTGTTTAGACAGTGCGACGATGCCGCGTTCCGGCCTGTGTGTTGCGCGCCATGGTGAATCCGTTGCGGTTTGGCGTTGGATTGTCATCCATCATTGCACGGACATTCAACAAGGTGCTTAGAAGGAGTGGTATGAAGCACATGCCCAACGCACAAGCGTAGATGCGTTCTCGACAGCAGTGTTTAGACAGTGCGACGATGCCGCGTTCCGGCCTGTGTGTTGCGCGCCATGGTGAATCCGTTGCGGTTTGGCGTTGGATTGTCATCCATCATTGCACGGACATTCAACAAGGTGCTTAGAAGGAGTGGTATGAAGCACATGCCCAACGCACAAGCGTAGATGCGTTCTCGACAGCAGTGTTTAGACAGTGCGACGATGCCGCGTTCCGGCCTGTGTGTTGCGCGCCATGGTGAATCCGTTGCGGTTTGGCGTTGGATTGTCATCCATCATTGCACGGACATTCAACAAGGTGCTTAGAAGGAGTGGTATGAAGCACAGGCCCAACGCACAAGCGTAGATGCGTTCTCGACAGCAGTGTTTAGACAGTGCGACGATGCCGCGTTCCGGCCTGTGTGTTGCGCGCCATGGTGAATCCGTTGCGGTTTGGCGTTGGATTGTCATCCATCATTGCACGGACATTCAACAAGGTGCTTAGAAGGAGTGGTATGAAGCACATGCCCAACGCACAAGCGTAGATGCGTTCTCGACAGCAGTGTTTAGACAGTGCGACGATGCCGCGTTCCGGCCTGTGTGCTGCGCGCCATGGTGAATCCGTTGCGGTTTGGCGTTGGATTGTCATCCATCATTGCACGGACATTCAACAAGGTGCTTAGAAGGAGTGGTATGAAGCACATGCCCAACGCACAAGCGTAGATGCGTTCTCGACAGCAGTGTTTAGACAGTGCGACGATGCCGCGTTCCGGCCTGTGTGCTGCGCGCCATGGTGAATCCGTTGCGGTTTGGCGTTGGATTGTCATCCATCATTGCACGGACATTCAACAAGGTGCTTAGAAGGAGTGGTATGAAGCACATGCCCAACGCACAAGCGTAGATGCGTTCTCGACAGCAGTGTTTAGACAGTGCGACGATGCCGCGTTCCGGCCTGTGTGCTGCGCGACATGGTGAATCCGTTGCGGTTTGGCGTTGGATTGTCATCCATCATTGCACGGACATTCAACAAGGTGCTTAGAAGGAGTGGTATGAAGCACAGGCCCAACGCACAAGCGTAGATGCGTTCTCGACAGCAGTGTTTAGACAGTGCGACGATGCCGCGTTCCGGCCTGTGTGCTGCGCGACATGGTGAATCCGTTGCGGTTTGGCGTTCGATTGTCATCCATCATTGCACGGACATTCAACAAGGTGCTTAGAAGGAGTGGTATGAAGCACAGGCCCAACGCACAAGCGTAGATGCGTTCTCGACAGCCGTGTTTAGACAGTGCGACGATGCCGCGTTCCGGCCTGTGTGTTGCGCGACATGGTGAATCCGTTGCGGTTCGGCGTTCGATTGTCATCCATCATTGCACGGACATTCAAAAAGGTGCTTAGAAGGAGTGGTATGAAGCACAGGCCCAACGCACAAGCGTAGATGCGTTCTCGACAGCAGTGTTTAGACAGTGCGACGATGCCGCGTTCCGGCCTGTGTGCTGCGCGACATGGTGAATCCGTTGCGGTTCGGCGTTCGATTGTCATCCATCATTGCACGGACATTCAAAAAGGTGCTTAGAAGGAGTGGTATGAAGCACAGGCCCAACGCACAAGCGTAGATGCGTTCTCGACAGCAGTGTTTAGACAGTGCGACGATGCCGCGTTCCGGCCTGTGTGCTGCGCGACATGGTGAATCCGTTGCGGTTCGGCGTTCGATTGTCATCCATTCTTGCACGGACATTCAACAAGGTGCTTAGAAGGAGTGGTATGAAGCACAGGCCCAACGCACAAGCGTAGATGCGTTCTCGACAGCAGTGTTTAGACAGTGCGACGATGCCGCGTTCCGGCCTGTGTGCTGCGCGACATGGTGAATCCGTTGCGGTTTGGCGTTGGATTGTCATCCATTCTTGCACGGACATTCAACAAGGTGCTTAGAAGGAGTGGTATGAAGCACAGGCCCAACGCACAAGCGTAGATGCGTTCTCGACAGCAGTGTTTAGACAGTGCGACGATGCCGCGTTCCGGCCTGTGTGTTGCGCGACATGGTGAATCCGTTGCGGTTTGGCGTTGGATTGTCATCCATTCTTGCACGGGAGTGGTATGAAGCACAGGCCCAACGCACAAGCGTAGATGCGTTCTCGACAGCAGTGTTTAGACAGTGCGACGATGCCGCGTTCCGGCCTGTGTGTTGCGCGACATGGTGAATCCGTTGCGGTTTGGCGATGGATTGTCATCCATTCTTGCACGGACATTCAACAAGGTGCTTAGAAGGAGTGGTATGAAGCACAGGCCCAACGCACAAGCGTTGATGCGTTCTCGACAGCAGTGTTTAGACAGTGCGACGATGCCGCGTTCCGGCCTGTGTGTTGCGCGACATGGTGAATCCGTTGCGGTTTGGCGATGGATTGTCATCCATTCTTGCACGGACATTCAACAAGGTGCTTAGAAGGAGTGGTATGAAGCACAGGCCCAACGCACAAGCGTTGATGCGTTCTCGACATCGCTGTTCAGACGCGGCGACGTTGCAGCGTTCAGGCCCGTGGCTTACGCGACATGGTGAAACGGTTGTGGAATGGTGTTGCTTCCCAAATGGTAGCAGACCACACTAACGGTGTTGTTTCTAAACACTGCCGTTGTCAATATGCCGGAAGGTATTGAGCATGCCGTAAAGTATGGTCGTATAATCGTTATGAGTGACATTAAGTAATTTGTTATATGTAACTGTACAATGGTATTACCTGGTTTGGATTAAGGCTATGGGGGTGCGCACCACTTTGGGCACACCTACGTGATCGCGATCTCCCCCCTATAGAGACTCTCGAAAGAATCACAACACCAAACAGATCTCTTCCCTCTCTTCCTCTCCCACCTCGACTCTCACACACGATTCAAAAACCGAAGTTTTGAATA